CTCAAGCCAAACCGCCCTTAACTCGAGGCGCTTGCCGATGGGTATCTGGGTACGCAACTCGGCCGACTAAATAAATTTTCACCTCTGCCCCTTAAGTATTTCCCATCGAGTGGATGCTTCTTCAAAAAATGGTGCTGGGGCAGGGGCTGGCTATTTTGCCGCAGATTGACGTGCCCAGAGCCTTACGATCGCTGCCGCCTCACGCCGGCGAAAATCGACAGTCCAACCACGCTTGCAGCACCAACCTTATCCTGACATGCATAGCGTGCAAGTACAAATGCAAGCCACCCATCCAAACTCGATCTCGACCGACTCCAACCTTGCGCGACATACTAACCACAAGCTAGGACTCGGGCCGCCTTTGCGGGGCGCAGCCCCAATTACTAACCACACAGGTGTGACTCATAAAGCGAAAACTAGGGATTCTGATTGGATGTCCAGTTGCGTCAAGGTGTAATCACCCTGCAGCCAAAAGAGGTTGCCATGTGGGTGTCGGTTTTGTTGGTTGCGACGGCCGCGCTGGGGTTTCTATGGCAATATGCTATGCGAAGGGTGCGGCTTTCGAGCGGGTGTGAGGGCCGCATCGATCGAGGGCGTGAGGCAGCCGATTGGTCGTCTGGCGATGGCTTCGACGAGCCGGGATATGCGGGATTTGCCATTGGTATAGACGGGTGCGTACAGCTGGATGGCGGGCGACGAGCACGAATGGCGTGGGGCTGCCTTTGACGGCGTTGCATGCCGCGTATGCTGTGCTACTGTTTCATAGCTGCGCGTCGACAAACGGCAGGGAAAGCGTGGTCGACTTGAGAGCAAGGGAAGCGTGAAGAGCAGAACAATTTTGCTCGCAATCAGCGAGACGTCAGAGCCGCTAGCCGTCTGACAACAAGCCGCCCTAGTTGTTAATCGTCCCCAATAATATGAGCTCGCGCACTTCGGCGTAGTTAGTACTCGACCAGCCGAATTGCCGCCACCGCCCGGAGCAGCGGAACTGCCCGCACTCGTCTGTGCAAGGCCATCCCCCATGTCCCCAGAAACCGACGCAGGCTGTGGCAGCCATGACAATGAAAGTGCATGACAATGAGAGTGGTATTAAACTGCTGCCGGCGATGCTGACGCCGCTAATAATACCACTACTCGCGCGATAAGCCGTTTCGAGTTCCAATTCGGTCCTGCCTTCGGGAGCGAACCACAGTCCGCCGTCCCTGGAACTGGGGGATCCGCCTGCAGGTCCATATCGGTTTGGTATTATATGCCTGGCGGATTTACGTTAGCAGTCGCGGCAGCGCCGGATCGCCAGCCGCGCAGACCTGTTCCATTTAGGGTGATTACGGTTGTGGACCTGTTTTATAGCTCGTAGGCTCTGTCGTGTTAGCGCTTTTATTCCATTTCGAACGATTCGACGTCGTGTCTGATCTTTAACTGAAACGAGACCTGCCGAAGAAGCTGCAAAGGAATGCCCACATTAACATGTGGAATTCCACCAGTTAATGTGGATTTTAGCGGGTAGTTCTTACAGGCGACGCAAGGGGATTACAGGAGATGCAAACTGCAAGCGGTTTGCCCAAGAGCCTTGAGGAACGCAATTTGGATTTGGCAATTTGGAAGCGTTGGAACTAAATGCCCAAAATTTAAATTTGCTGCGTTTGCGTGCGCTTGGATGTTATTGTACGACGTTGGGGTGGCGTACTTTTGCGGCTTAGCGTTTGTTCTGAACGGGTGTACCGGTATGCTGAAACATAATGAAAATGTAACGACAAAATAGACGAAAAAAGCGAAGGATGTCGAATGGTCAGGATCTGCATCAAGATTTCGCGCAGTTCCCTTTTGATTTCTTATGTTCAACCTAAAGACATTATTCTCTAAATTATGGCAGCTTGTTACAGTTGCTTCACATTCTATTATGGAGAGGAGGAGCTGACTTTCGCTGAGGACGTTGCCCATCTCGTCGCACATGCAGCCCACCATGCGTTTGGTGTCGCCTTCGACCACTTTGCCGAAGATGGTGCCGCTGCCGTCCACGGCGTTGCCCGCCTGTTGACCCACTTGCCGGCCAGGATGGGCCGGTCAACCTCGGCTCGGGCTCGGCTCGAGCTTCCAGCGCTCGGCCTTGCCGACCACGTTGCCGCCGCGGTCCAGGATGTCGCCGTCGGGGCCGACCTTCATACCGCGCAGCTTCTTGGCGTCGCCTTCGACGACCTTGCCGATCTCCTCGCCCTCGAAGACGACCATGCCCCTGGAGTTGACCACGGCGTCGGGGAAGGCCTCGAAGGGGGCCGACTCTGTCATGACTCGAGCTCGTTCTCGGGGATGGGCTCGGCGCGGCTGATGACGGCGCCACTGTCGTTCCAGATGGCGCCCGTCTCGTCCACGCGCTTGCCCACGAGGTGCCCCGGGACGCCCTCCTTGATGCGGTCGACCACTTCGCCGTCGCCGTTAACGATGTTGCCGCACTTGTTGACCTTACCTCCCTTGAGGATGGAAAAGTCGATTTGATCAGCCACGTCTTCGGCCGCCTCACCGGCCTGCTCGCCGGCATCCGCCGCGGCGCCCTTGGCACCCTCGGCAGTCTCGCGGCTTGGACCTCGGT